AAAACACAAAAAAAGGAAGGGGGGAAACCCCTTTTTTTTTCTTTTGGTTTAAAAATCAAAAAAAAAAAAAAAAAAAAAAAAAAAAAAAAAAAAAGTAACTTCTGTAGAAAGATACACAAAGGAAAGACTCTGAAAGAAAGCACACAAATGTACTTCACCAAAAAATAACAAGAGAAATTGAAACAAAGTGCCAAAATCTGGATTTACCAATGAATATATAAAAAACATCTCATCTGGCCTTTTCCACAACTGCTGTGTATCTAAAATAGGGAGCAGAGAGATGATGAAGAAACTGTACCTATTCTTTGGGAAGCATAACTGAGAAAGCAAAACTAAAGAAGTTACTGAAAGGTAAGAAGAAATGTCTAACAGATCATTGATTTGCTTACACTTTTGTAAGTACAAGAATAGGGTTTGATTCTGCAGTCCAAACTCAAGCCAACATTGTTTTAAGTACAGTATAGAGGAAACTCTGACCTAATCAGTATTTGTTGTAAATGTTATGTATCCACTTTTCATTTTAGGCAGTGGCCTCATGTATAATATTTCAGTATAATAAATAACAAATGATCATTTTATTCTCTAGATCCATGTTTCCTCTTAATCAAAAATACTTTTAAACTTATCAAAGACTATCAAATTTGTACAAACCCACAGACAATCATATACATGTAACAGATGTGAATAGTTGTTTCCTTTTGGGATATAAAAGACTGAAAACTTTCCTAAATAATGCATATCTGTTTAACACTTTCACACAGCTTTTCTTTAGTGGAGTAATTTATGCTGGTCCTTAGTTATCTGTATGCTTATCAAGAAGAGAACTGTGCCTGTTGTTTAAATTCAACCACAAAATTATTTGAAATTGGTTTTGTTTCAAGTCTGTGCTGCATGATTCAGAGGGACTTGAGGGGGTGTCCCACATCTCAGGTGAGTGCCTTAACCAGTGGGCTCTAGAAGTCAGTCTTTCTCTCTCTCTCTCTCTCTCACTTTGTCCCTGGCCCAATGAATATTTAATTATTTATACACAGCATAGATTGAGAGAGACAGAGACTGATTCTAGAGCCCTGAAAAAATTTACTGTTTTTTTTTTGGCCAGCTCTACAGTTCATTGGTGTGACCAAGTAGTAGTAAGCAGAGTAATTACAATAAAGCCTACATCTTTTGCAGTTCCTACTTTAGTGGGAACTGACTCATTATTGTTTTATATCTAGCTCACATCATTGTATTCCAGTTCTACAAGGTGAAATTTGTTTTTGTGAGTTCAGAGTTCAGTCATTGCATTAGAGCTAGTCCCCAGATTATGGTTCTGCTACACCATTTGGAACGCATCTGAGTGAATATGCGCCACTCAGAACAAAACCTTGCTTTTGGGTTCATAATGGGGAAAGTCGTGCTAATTCACACCCAATCTATTTAGAACTTTGGATCCTGTGAACCGTGCAAACCAGGTTTTATGCAAAACGTTGTGAACCCATTTTGCACTGAGCTTGTCAGTTTGCACAGCTCTTATCAGATGGTCAGGAATTTTCTGATGAAACTTATTTAATCAGAAAAAATGCTGATTCATTAAACCAAAATTGTCTGAGAAAGGGTCAGTTTCAGTCACTCTCCTGATTCAAAACATTTCTAAAAAAAAAGTTTTGAAATTGTGAAAACATCCTGTTTGACACTTTCATATATCAATTTTGTTTTAAAAATTAGGTTGATTTATGCTAAAAAGGGTTTTGGTTAAAAAAAAATAGTCAAAATCTGAATGAAATGTTCCACAATTATCAAACAAAATATTTTGATTGACCCAAACCAGAAATGTTTTCAAGATTATCAGTTTGCAAGCATTTTTGAGATTTTTGACTTTTTGTCCAGCTTTGGGATGGGAAATTTTTTTGCCATCTCAAAAAGTCTTTCAAATGGGAAAAATATTTGCCACCCAGCTCCAAACAGAAACATTAGAAGAAACTATTGCCTAATTATCATTGTTTCCAATGAGATTATCCTGATAACTCGATTACTGTGCAATCCATCATATCACCATTAGCAGAAGAGGACTAAAAATATAAGCATTTTCTCTTTCCATTTCACCCATGAATCCCTCCTCTTGTAATTTTTTTCAATTACTTTTAGTTTTTTAATAAGAGTTGGAATCCAGGCAGAAAGATCAGATCTTGATTTGAATTTCCCCAAAGTTTAAAGGTGTTTGGATGCAGGGTATTGGTTTGTCCCATTTATTTAACATTTTTAAAAATGTAAACAGATAAGGGAGTGTAAAGACAGTTTGCATGGGATATATAGGAAGTGTTATAAATGATCATTCTGAATTGGTACTGTCAGATTTAGTAACGCATATTGTTCTCATATAGTTACAGGTACATAAATTGCGGTCATGTTCATTCTTATGAATGTACCCTTCTTTGTATCATTTTCTTTGAACCCACAAGCCAGTCCAGTTGTCCCAAAGGAGCTGATATGTCTCAAATTTAGCAGTCTAACATCTTAAAGACAGGCAGAGCACAACTGCTAAATTATGCTCAACCAGCCAATGAGAGCAATGTGATTTATATGCTTGGCAGCACATGACGAGAAGCTCAATGAAATAAGATAAGGAAAAAAATTCAGATCTAGTGTAATCAGATTAGAACTACAGCTAACCAGGAAACTTGGGGTGACTGAGGTAAAAGGTGACAATGGAAAAAAACAACCACCATAAAGACTCCTAAAGACAGCAAAGATAAACTGGTTCCAGTCAACCCAAAACTTTGCATATCCCTCAAACTTTTCTGACGTTTGTGCACTGTTATGCTTCCTAGTTATTGCTGGCATGGGAAATGGATTACAGTGGAGAGAACTTGAAGCTAATGGAGGGTAAGAGCATTTATAACCCACTATATATTTAACAAGCACTACTGTGTAAGGATGTTAACATGAGTGGCTCTGGTTCTAAAGGAAAAAATGAAGGCTTCAGCCATAAAGTAACCTCAGCAAAAAAGTATCTCTACCAATCTAGATTAACAACAGTGAATATTCTCAAATCATACATCTCCTCATTTATCCATTTATATGCATTCCCATTTACATACTTATGGTTGGTGATAAATATACAGTAAAAGCTGTGTTGTCCGGCACTTTATCAACCAGAAAGCTCTATTAAACCGGCATTTCTGGTATCTCCCAATACAAATCTTCAATCTAGTAACTGGGACTAGTATCCTGCCCAGGAAGTTATGCAATTGCACATTCTGCACTCTACTTTTATGCAAAAGAGGCAGAAGACAACTAAGCAAGCTGATATCAGGGATTTATTCAAAAAAGCAGCTTCCAGGGTGTGTCATAGGGTCATTACAGATTCAGTCCAATCTCCTATTCCTTCTAAATCTACAATGATAATTAATGTTGATATTGATGACCCCGAGGCACTGCAAGATCCTGAAGTACTTTCTGAATCATCAAAGAAAGATTAAATTATGCTCAGTATAGTTTGTGGTAAGTGTATTTTTAGTGATCTGGGTGTATGCCACGCGCTGCCCATAGTGATATGTAGTGTATAGACAACTTTATCTGTATACACCTAAGTGCTTCAAGAAACCAACCACTCTACAGTGCAGTACTACTATTGGATTGGTGAGTATCTGTATTCTAGTTTATACTTTATTCGTTTTATTGTATTCTAATTCTTGGGAAATTGGTATTCCATTGGTAAGTATAACTCTTAATTAACTGGAATTTTTGACTAACCGGCAACCCCCATTCCTCCGGCATGCTGGATAACAAAGTTTTTACTGTACATTGTATATCTATAACCATAAAATGTGTACTGTTCTATCATCTCATTAGATTTGCATCTGTTGCAAATATAAAAGGTAATTAGGGCTTCTTGAAAATTTTTGTTTGAAACTATTTTTCAACAAAAAGTTGGGTTTTCAAAACTCAATTATTTTTTCTCTGAAAAGTGTTTGTTCTTCATCAAAAACCCAAGTATCGCAAACTAAAATGTTCTCAGATTTCTGCTGAAAACTGAAAAATTACTATCTGAAATGCTGTCACTCTACTTCGTTATCTAGATTGATTTCCTAATACGTGTTTGCTACCACATTTTCACTTTGGTAGAGAGCTTTGGTGAATAGGGCTTTTATGAGCTGAAATGAGCCTTTAACCACACATCATTTCTAAATTTCAGGGCACCGCTCAAATGCAGCCCTTTTGGTTATTGAATTTAAATGAGGCCAGACAATTCTCCACAAACAGTGAGACATGTTTGGTAGCTGGAAAGGGTGAGTGTCATTGGAGTAGTTTCCGAGACATAGAACTGATCATCAGAATCAGCCACAGGAGGGAGCTACAACCAAAAAATAAATAAGCTGTACAATATTTTTTGCTTTTGTGTTTTGTCAGGCTGCTTGCATTGTTACATAGTTTGGAGTTTTAGGATGATTGTTTTGTCTTAATTATTTTGTATAATGTGTATTTTAAATTATACTTGAGATCTTAGAACTGTAAGAATACGTATTGTTTGCACAAGTCAAAATACCTTCAAGTAATACTACTCAAAAATCTAGCCATTGTAGTTCAGCCATAGAAAAGCAATAATTCATTTCCCTACATTTCAATCTTATAAACCAGTGTATCTGTTGAAGTACAGTTGGCTGACAAAAATGAATTACTTAGGGATACCTTTTCACTGTGATGTGCAAGTAGTTACAGTCCATTCTTGTTAATAGTCAAAGGAAGTATACAGCTCAGTGGAAACTTGGCCTTAAATGCACTGAGCTGTGTGTGTATCTGCATACATGCGCCTGTGTATTTATGTGCAGAGCTCTGTGTAGCTTGAAATCTTGTCTCTTTCACCAATAGAAGTTGGTCCAATCAAATTTACTACTTTACCCACCTTGTCCTTCTATTATATATAACACACACAAAGACACAGACGCCCACGCACACATGCTTTATGAAATAAGACTTTCAGAGCTAAACCTCAGCAGTTACCAGTAAGGTGAAATCACACACACACACAACACAAGTTTACATGACTAAAATAGTACCTTCACATACAATCATCTACCTGCAGGCATATGTTTTGTGAGTGCAGTTACATATTTATGCATATCCACACATTCAGCAAAATCCTAAGAGGTGCTGAGGCCATTGATGTCAATGGGGATTGCAGATACTCACAACTTCTCAGAATTAGGCCCATATTTTGTACAGCGTAGCCCAGGGGTGGGCATACTATGGCCCACAGGCCACATCCGGCCCTTGAGCTCCTGCCGGGGAGTGGGGTCTGGGGCTTACGTAGTTCCTGGAAGCAACAGCATGTCCCCTCTCTGGCTCCTACACATAGGGGCAGCCAGGGGGCTCTGCGCGCTGCCCCTGCACCAAGCGCCACCCCCCAGCTCCTATTGACTGGGAACCTCAGCCAATGGGAGCTGCAGGGGCGGCGCCTGCAAATGGGGCAGCGCGCAGAGCCGCCTGATTGCACCTCTGCATAGGAGCCAGAGTGAGGACATGCCGCTGCTTCCAGGAGTTGCTTGAGGTAAGTGCCACCTGGAGCCTGCATCCCTGACCCTCTTCTGCACCCCAGCCTCCTGCCCTAGCCCTGATCCCCTTCCTGCCATCTGAGTCCCTCGGTCCCAGCCCAGAGCACCCTCCTGCACCCCCAACCACTCACCCCAGCTCCACCCCAGAGCCCACCCCCCCAGCTGGAGCCCTCCCCCCTCCCGCACCCCAACCCTCTGCCCGAGTCCAGAGCTCCCTCCCACATCCTGAACTCTTCATTTCTGGCCCCACCCCAGAGCCCTCACTCCCCCTCCCGCACCCCAACCCCCAATTTTGTGAGCATTCATGGCCAACCATACAATTTCAATACCCAGATGTGACCCTCGGGCCAAAAGGTTTGCCCACCCCTGGGGTAACCAATAAGCTTTAACAATGTAAAGTGAAATTTGTGAGACTCTATACACTACTGAATACCCATTTAAACCTTAACATGAAGTTTAAGAGGGGCGTAATTGATGCATAGGACCACATTATAGTCTGTTTGTATTGAGGGATGTGGATGGAGAAGCAGACCCAGAGGTGGGCTTCAGGGCCTCAAATTGGACCTGCTTGGGAATGGATGTTGCAGAGGACTGGTGAGAGGTGATCTCTACAACTAGTCCTGTTTAGAGGGCAGGCTGCCATGTGCTGGACAAGCTGGAATTTCTGTTTAACCATGATGAATAGTCTTGGTAGAGAGAGTTATAGCAGTCCAGTCTTTAGGTAACAAATATGGGGGTAGTAATTGCTTAGCTCTCACAGCCAATGAGATCTCTGTGTAATGATGTTGATCACATCTGCTCAGCACAGGCCAGTGTATTTCAACATAGTGATGACAATGAAGTCCTTGGTATAGAATGATTTCTCTTGAGGTCTTTGTATATATATATATAGAACAGGAAGGTGGGGGAAGATTGACCCCCGTGGGAGTCTATATACACGTGCTCTTGAGAAAGAACAGCTGCTCATCACTACTCTCCAAGATCTGCTGGAGATAAATTACTGAAGACAGTTTAGAGCTCTATGTCATCCACCTGCCAGGCCAAAGATGGTTGTTCTACTTTCTGGTAGCCTATGTCAAAGATTGACTTAAGAGAAGTTGTAAGGGCATAGAGATATGTCCTCGTTCCACAGCTGAATTATGATTATGGAGGCTTCATGACATTGGTGGGGTTAGTTCCAGCTGGAGCAAAGCTATGAACACTTTTTCAATGATTTTTGCCTAGAAATGGGAGATTGGAAACATCACAGAAATTTTCAAGGTCATTGGCATTCCTTGTTGGTTTCTTGAGAAGTGACTGCACTATTGCATGCTTCAGGAATGTGGTTATCTGACTTTCCCAAAAAGAATCATTAATAATTTTGATCAGTAGAGGTCCTAATTGGGTCCTGTCATGGGCAGGGATCCTACATGGCAGACTGCATGTTCCTCAGAGCTTCTAGTCCTTGTATTTGTTAGATGGGTCTACATTCTATTAGGGATGTTGGTATGGACTCAGCTTTTTCATTTAAGAAAGGATTTGACAAGAATCTATTTCATACAATGTCTCTAAATGGATCTTGGGCATAATACATTTTGCGATTTAAATTATGATCATTATAGTGAATATTGTACACTATTATTAAATGAGGTGTATTACACTAAAGGTGATCTGAAAGCCAATGGATTGCACTCAGTCCTAGTGAACACAGATGTGGCTACCATTGTAGGGGATCCTGGCCATTTAAACTGGGGCTTAGTTTGTCCCTATGACCCTATTTCTTTTTGTGGATAATTAGCTTTCTTTAGATTGGTTTGTTTAGTAGACAATCAAATTGTTCCTTTTTATTGTTGTGCCTTAATTTCCAGCAGTGATTATTTTGTTGTTGTTTTTAGGAAGCCAGGAAGAAAAATGTTCCATAGCAGCTCCATGGGGACACAGGCACTGATTTTTGTTTTTGCTGATGGGTGCTCCTGTCTGCCCCCTCCCCTCTTTGTGAGTGGCAGGTGGGGCCTTGGGGGGAAGACACCAAGTGGGGGCAGAGCCTCAGGGCTGAGTTCAGGCAGAGCAGGAGGTGGGGCCATTGTCTGGACGCTAGGGCCCACAAAAGAATAATCCAACCCATACGCGCCCTATTTTTTTCAGTGGGTGCTTGAGTCCCGGAGCACCACAGAGTCAGTGCCTATGCATTGGGAATTTCTGAACTACAAGTGCTTGAGTTTCACTTTATTATCTTATCAGTTGCATTTCTTATATAAATTTCCATACATTTTGTTTTTAAAAATAGCTGTAACTAGCTTATTTTACAGGGGCAAATTCTGCTCACCTTTGCACTGGTGTAAATCTTGAGTA